GCTTTAAGCTATCACCTCTCTCAGTATACGTACGCTAAAGCTTACGTCTAGCAGGGAGAAGTGTTAACTGTGAAAGCACGGAATATTCTGAGGACTGAGGTCGTGGCGGCCCCAGACATCAAGTAGTATGGGGGGGTGGAGTGCAGTTGCAGCCCGACCGGCGACCAATCAGAGGAGCCGGCAGCAAGACAGGTAGTTTGGCGGTTTGAGTCTGAGCAGGTGTTCCTGGCTGCATACGTTTTGCGCTCTGGCAAACCTTGGAGATGTTGTTGTCGTTGTTGGACATTTCTTCCATAGTAGTTTTATATAGTTGTATCGACGTAATTGTGGAGGGAAGAGCAGGCTCAATCTCTTGAAGGAGATTATTGTCACAATATATATATATATATATATATATATATATATATATATATATATATATATATATATATATATATATATATTCATATGTACATCTTTCAATCTACTCCACCAGCAACCAATCCATCCATTTATCCATCTACTCCTGCTATCAATCCATCTAGCAATCTGTCTATCTATCTCGGTATATCTATCAGTATATCCATCTATTTCGACCTATTAATAATTCTATCTGCCAAACTATTTACCAATCTATCTGTTCAATTTTATATCCATCCATCTAATAAAGAATCTTTCCATTTAACACTTTCGCGCTCCGTGGAAACTCGCGGTTGACAGGGGGATCGTGGCCCCTCTGTGCGGGTAAGCGCACAGTGACACCCAAATGTGTATACTCGTTCCAGCTTTCTCACCTTAATTCTCATGCTACGTCGCTCGTTTTGGTATCATTGTGTTCGCAAATAAATTCTCTACAGGTGTGTATAAATATAATGTCCAAAATCCTAGCGTGACTCCCAACAGCAAAGCGTAAAGTCGGCAAAAACACACAAAATCAGTAACATGTGCACTCTCGTTCCATTTTTTTACCCTAATTCTCGTGCTACGTCGCTCGTTTTGGTATCATTGTGTTCGGAATTAAATTTCCTACAGATGTGTATGAATAAAATGTACAAAAGGCTGGAGTGCCTCCCCGCAGAAAAGCCTAAAGTTACCCGTGAACGAGCACCATTTTGTACATTGCAACCTAATGTTCAACTCGTTCAATTTGATAACATCAAATTTCGTGCTACGTCGCTCATTTTGGTATCAAATTGTTCGCAATAAAAAGGCGAGTATTCTAAAACTAGTCTTAGAATAATAGAGCAATAACTGGATTTTTAACAAATATTTTAATTCTGGACGCTCATCATCACAAATTTATTTATATCTTTCCAGTGTTCTGACATAAATATTTGTGCTACATCTTTCATTTTGGTATCAAATTGTTCGCAATAAAAAGGCGCGCATTTTAAAACTAGACCCAAGAAAATAGGACAATAAATAGAATTTTAACAAATATTTTAATATTCGGACCATAGGCCTATTTATAATATTTCAAGTGTTTGGACATCAAGTTTCATGTTATATCTTTGATTTTGGTATCAAATTGTGTGCAATCTAAAGGCGCTTATTTTAAAACCACTACCAGATTGATCTGATAAAATTTAAATTTTCAAAAAATATTTTAATGAGTGACTCAGTACTGCGTCGTTGGAAGACATTCAGTAGAAAAATGAGTGACTGAATAGTCAGTCTGTGGAACCTCAAAGTGTTAACCTTCCATCAACACATCTCGCCATCTTCTTGAGATGATTTCGGGGCTTTAGTGTCCCCGCGTCCCGGTCCTCGACCAGGCCATCCAAATAACCACCTATTTATTCATCTATCAATCTTTTAGTCTATCCACACGTCCATTAATCCATCGACCCACTCATCTGTCTATTTATCTATACCCCTATCTATCTATCAATCTGTCCCTTTATCCATCCGTCTATCCACTTAACTATCTATCTATCTATCTATCTATCTATAAAGATTCATCTATCAATACATCTACACATTTATCCATTCATCTACACATAAAATCGTAAATTTTCTATCTATTCACACTTTGAATGTCCATCTCTCTTTCCATCATTCCATCAATGTAATTTGTGTCCATCCATCAGTGTAGCCATGTATCAATTTATCTATCCATCTAGTTTTGTTTCCATCTATTCACCTAGCATTCTAACCATCTGTATCTCTGTCAATCCATGCATCTATTCATTTTTATGTATATACCTTTCTATCCACTTATCCATATTGCTTGCAATCCAACTAGCTTTCTACCAATCTATTTATGCATCTATCTATACATGCCCCCACTCTTCTTTCCGTTCATCTCTCCATCCAACTATCTTTCCATCGATCTATTTGTCAATCAAACTATCTGCCTACCCGCCCATTTATCTATCTACTCCATCTATCTATCCACCTACTCATCAGTGTATCCACCTATCAATGCATCCATCCATCTATCAATCTATCCATGTACCTATCCATCAACCCATCCACCTATCTATCAATCCATCTATCTGCTGTCCGTCTCTGTCTATCTCTCTGTCTCTAGCTGTGTCTGTCAGTGTCTCTGTTTCTGGGTCCCCTATCTCTGTCTTTCTCTCTTTGTCTTTATCTATATCTGTCTGTCTATCTGCCTGTATTTCTATCTGTCTGTCTCTCTCTCTCTCTGATAAACAGAATAATTGTCTATGTGTGGTGGTCAGCAGTGCGAGTTGTTCAGTGGTGTGAACTAAAAAAAAAAAGTTACCCCTTACTGTGATAAAGAACGGAGGAGAGGAGAAACCTTTGATGCACTGGAAAATTATTGACAACAAGAAATTTCTGTTAATTTTCCTAAGATCAGTGAAAAATGGCCCGTATTACCTAAATGCTTTTCTATAAAGTTTTGAAAATACATAGCTGTGTAGCTGTCCGACACGGCCAAAAATCGTCGTGGAAGTGTCTGAATGTGGCACTGGCACACTGTTCCATTTTAAGTCTTGAGACCTCAACTAGCCTCTTTTCATCCCGTTCCCCAGACCATCCACTCTGCCAAATTGCGTGAGTCTAGCCCTAACCGTGTGGCCTCCAAATTTTAACAGACGAAGGTTCTCTCCTATAGCATGTAATGGAGGGATAACCCGGTGGTGCTCAGGTCTGTCTGTGTGTGTCTCTCATCTATCCATCTATATATCCCGCTATTTATCTCTATTTGTCTATTAATTCATCTATCAATCCATCCATCTGTCTCTCTGTCTAGCTATCCATCTTTCTCTACATCTATATGTTGGTCAATCTATCCAACAATCATACCAACTATCTATCCATCTATATACTTAAAAATCAACTCATTCATTTGTCGATCATCTCCCCATCTTGCCATCCATAAAATCATCTTGTTATCGATCTATGAATACGTCTATCTACCTGTCCATCAATCTATCCATCCTTCCATCCATTCATCTATCCACGTATCTATCAATTTATCTATATGTCTATCTATCAATCCCTCATTAAATCGTTTTGTCCATCAATCCATATATATCTAAATCTATCTTTAAATCCACCCTTTGGGCAGCCATCTATCATTCAATCTATATATCCATCTAGCTTTTTATATATCTATCCATCTAGCTTTTTATATATCTATCCATCTAGCTTTCTATCCACCTATCTATTAATCTATTTATCCATATATTTATATATCTAGTCATCAATCTAAATATGCAACTAATCATCACACACAGAGATCACACTAACGTGATGCATCAAATGAACAAATCCACAAGGGCCATGACGAGGATTCGAACCTGCGTCTGGGAGCATCCCAGACACTGCCTTAATCGACTGAGCTACGACAGGGTAAAATGATGTGTGATGTGATGTGATGATGTAAGGGCGAAGAGGGAGAACGGCCTATTGACATAGCTCGGGTGCAGGGCGGAGGGTGGGGGTTGTGTAAAAGCCTGGTTTGTGCCTCGGAGAGGCTACGGGATCCAGTAAGTTCAGTAGAACTTCGGTTTCAACCCTTTTACCCTGTCGTAGCTCAGTCGATTAAGGCAGTGTCTGGGATGCTCCCGGACGCAGGTTCGAATTCTCGTCATGGCCCTTGTGGGTTTGTTGCAACTAATCATCTTCCAACCCATCCAATTGCTTTACATCTATCTTTTCCTCTATCCATCCATCCATCCCTTCATCCATCTACTTATCTGTTTATCCATTTATCCATCAATGCATTTGTTCATCCTCCTATCCATTCACCTATATCCGTCCATCTCTCTACTGTCTATGTCTCTGCTTCTGACTTTGTTTCTGCACCCTCTCTTTCTTATTCTCTGTCATAGACCGAGGACAGGCAGAGAGAGAGTCTGTTTCTGCCTGTCTATCTCTAGCTGTGTGTCTGAGTTTCTGTTTGTCTCTGTCTTTCTCTGTAGCTGTCTTTATCTGTTTTTATCTCTCTTTCTCTGTCTGTCTCTTTTTCCTATAAAAAATATAATTGTCTTTGTATGGGTGGTCAGCAGTAAGAGGAGCGCTGTTGAGTGAAATACTAAAAAACGAATAGTTCCCCCTTAGACTGTTAGAAAGCCGTTGCTCGAAACCTTTGATATTGTGTAAAGATCGTCTGTTTTATGGGAGTACGGGCAAATTATTGACAGCAAAAAGTTAGTTAATTTTCCCGAGATCAGTGAATAATGCTGCATATTACCATATGAAAATAATTATTTGAAAATTTTGTTTTGAAAATATTTAGCTGCATAATTAGCTGACAGAGCCAAAAATCATCTTGGGGGTGTGAATGGGGCACTGGCACGTTATTCCCTTTTACATTTTGGTGACACCGACCAGCCTATGTTCATCCCGTTCCCCAGACCATTCCTTCTTACAATTTGGGTAAGGCTAGCCCCATCAGTGTGATCTCTGACTTTCAACAGACTAGCAGACATTATCTCTTATGGTACTGATTATAAAATATAAATATAGAATTTTGTCACATGATACGTTCAGTGTGCTATGTTGCATTGCTATATAATGTTGGAATGCATATGTGTAACTTTTACCATAATTATCTGTAGCGTTGACGTCTGCTCCAGCCAGGATGAGGACCTTCACATTGTTGTCGTGACCACCTTCGGCTGCCCTGTGAAGGGCTGTCCAGCCTGTCAACAGATACCACAAATGTTATTATGCATAAACCATCACTATTCCAATACTTTCTGTAAATTATTGAAATAAGCTGTTCTAGTTTATTTTTTTTTATATACTAGTGACGTTATCCGACTCTCAATACTTTGTAAAACTGTTTTCACCCTAAATTTAAGAGAGGAAGATCGTGTTAATTTTTGTAAGAATAGACCATTGAAATATCCGACATCCAACCAGTTCTTATTTGACAATTTATTACTTGTGACGAGAGCGACAGTGGTGCTATTGTCATACCCGAAACACTGAGTGTATTAGTGGCTTGAGGAATAGTATATACTTGTCCTGCCTAGAGATCCAACATTCTTCTCGTATACCATTTTGTATGTATGTGCTTTTCCCCTAATAAATATTATTATTATTATTTTAAATATTAATAATATTATTATTATTATTATTATTATTATTATTATTATTATTATTATTATTTTAAATATTAACATTATTATTATTATAATTATTATAATTATTATTATTATTGTTATTATTATTATTATATACATAAGGATAGCATTATGCAGGATGCAGCAATAGCTTACCAACCAACAATAGCTGACTTTACAAGGGTGAACCAATAGCTCCAGTCTTGCCATCGTCAGGTAAACAATATAACCTTTATAAGCATCATACACCATAAACCTTGGCAATAAAATGTTGGCAATACTAGCTCGAGGCAAGATAAACATTGTTGCCATCACTATACAACCAATATAACCATGAATGGTAACTGATGATATTTGGGAATGGCTGATGTAGGCATGAGGAACATCGTTGTCATCATCAGTTAACAATGACCTTCACAGATACTCTGAACATCACCATTCGTTATCTTACTATGCAAGCTTAAGGCATGAACAACACGATGTTATGCATGATCAATATTATTATAATTTATGGTATCTTGCTTCACTAGTTTGCATCTAACCATACTGACTTGAGAAAAGAGCAACGTTGTGTTATCATTGTCAGATAAACAAGATGATCACTGCGGATATCCTGCATCAAGCAAATTGATATATGATCACACAAGTCTCTTTCAACTTGTGGGGCTCCAGACACCCTTGTCTCCACCGGTCTTCCTCCGCAGAAAATAATAAAAAGAAACACTAAAGCAATATCCCCAACTGACACCTCTGTGATGCCAATGACACCATAATAAGTCACCTAACCACGTTTAATGTTTTGTAAGATGGGGCCATGTTGAATTAACATCAACAAGAACCTGTTGGCATATACCACATCTACTGCATAACCCATAAGGAAGTCCTCTCTCAGTTATATTCTCTCAGGTGACCCACTACCCTCTCTCAGTTTATTATTTCCCAACTCGATTTTATCTTAAAATTAATGTAACTAGCCAGAAATCTGAATTTTCTCTCAAGAATTATCAGATCCGCAGAGGCAAGGAGTGAATCATCTTAATCTAAAAGAACTGTAAGATCTAATTAACAAAAATATAATAAAACGAAATGTGGATGGTACCTCAATGTTACCCTTCGACTCTCTACCTGAATCTTATCACCAGAATAGTGTTAAATGAACTAATTTATATAAACATCTTCCCTGCAATTAGAGCAGCTCTCACTGAAAATATCAATTACCAATATGTCTTCAGAGTTAACTCTGGGATGCAGCTTCCACTCCCTAAATATAGTGATCATGGATGGATAAGTTAATAAGTGCAAGTACGTATATATTCAGTAGCTACAAGAACAAAATGTATGGTTAATACATACATAATAACAATGTTCTCAGTATTTCTTCACTCTTGGAAGGTGGTTATCCTTAAAGACATTCAATGTAAGAGTTCACAAGATTACAACAGTACACCGAAATATAATACTAATAATGATGACCATCAACACGTCACTGGGCCTCTACCTCATCTTTCGACTGTCCTCAACCAACACTTCTGGCACTTTGCCTAACAGTCACAATGGACTTAACTGGGTGTCCAACTGCAGCTGGATATTGATGCATAAAAGAATACACCAAAGACTCTCACCTTCAATCATTCCATGGGACATACACGCTCTCACATGCACTACATGTCATAAATAAATGAGTCACGACAGTCCAGTTGGATTTTATCCACCACTGAAATGGATATGGATCCCTGGTGGTCCTTAATTAAGGTGTGTCGTATATTTCCTTGCTCATTGTCTTGCTCTTTTGCCTCTCAGTAGGTGTACAGAGTTCTGCAGTCATCCAAAACCTGAATAATACTTTCCTAACAAGAAATGTAAACACAAAAACATATATGAATTAGTGTTGCCTGGAAACCCTCCTCAGATATTCTAGTTGGTGGTATCTGCCACCTCCCCACTGAGCTCATGAATCAACCTTTCCACAGACCACAGCCCGTCCTCCAAACAAAGATCCAAAAGTGATTCCATGCACCCGCCAAACCCCCTGTTTATGAATGAAAAGCGGTTTACACACGACTCACAACTGCTGACGTTGAACATATCCGGAACAAGTGCTTTACTGACGAATTTTGTTCGAATCACAATGCTATAAATGCTTCACCCACGTACTACAAATACAAATAGTCGCCAACAGAACCTAAACACCTAACCTAACCTATCCTATGCCTATATATACACAATATGCTAATATATTATAATATTAATTTATACTTGAGAAATTTCCCGTTTTGAATGAATAGCATGTTAAAATTTATGAATGCGTCTGTGGGGTCGACCGATGGATGTAATGGACTTGAGTCGAGGACGGGTTGCAGACCAAGTCCATTTCATCCAGTGGTAGACCCTAAAGACGCATTCGTCAATTTTAACATGCTGTTCATTCAAAATAGAAATTTTCTCAAATATAAATTATTATTGTTATGTGTATCATACTGTGCAAATTTAGGAATTAGTTAGGTTAAGATAGGTTTTTAGGTTCTGTTGGCGATTATTTGTATTTGTAGTATGTGGGTGAAGCATTTACTGCATTTTACTTCGAACAAAATTAATTGTTGATGAGGACGGACTGCATATATTACTGCCGCTCACTGGGAGAGATCAGTTATAGCCCCGCTCCTGTGCCAGGTGAGTATAACAGTCTCACCATAACCCACAACCCCTCCTGGACTCATGTCCATTACATCCAGCGATCGACCCCACAGACGCATTCATTAATTTTTACATGCTGTTCATTAAAAACGGGAATCTTCTCAAATATAAATTAACATTATAGTATATTAGCATATATAGGTTAGGTTAGGTTAGGTGTTTAGGTTCTGATGGCAATTATTTGTATGTGTACTACGTGGGTGAAGCATTTACAGCGTTGTGATTCGAACATAATTCGTCAGTGAAGCACTTGTTCCGGAAGTGTTCGAACGTCAGCAGTTGTGAGTCGTGTGTAAACCGTTTTTCATACATAAACTGGGGTTTTGGCCGGTGCATGGAATCACTTTTGGGTCTTTGTTTGGAGGATGGGCTGTAGCCCGTGGAACTTTTTGGAACTTTTTGTTTTGAGTAGCTGAATGTAAAACAACTTGGGAGAGATGCAGTTTCAAGCGAGCAGGTGAGCCTTACAGAGTGAGAGGAGCATGTTTCATTGGTACTGAGGGCCATTGTGAGTATACCAGTTTAACTGCTAAGTCTTTAGCTCTCGCGTATGGTACATGTCAACAGTTACCATGCTTTACAAGATAACGGTGCAGTTCCAAGGACCCAGACCACTACCTGGACGGAGATATTTCATATTCTTGGTAGTATCACTGGTGTTGCACCGATTGACATAAAAGAAAATGGCGATAGAGCCCTGCCCCTATTCTCTAGTGATAATGCTCTTCAGAGGCACTCTCTTCCACCTCGACGATACTTGGTAGTGACGGCTGTTTTTGGTCGGCGTATATGCATCTGGATTACCGACCAACGTATAGTCGACATCATCGATAGCATCAGCACACAAAACTGCACTGACTGGGGTTGCAGGAAAAATAACTGAGAATGAAGCTAGCGATCAATAGTGAAACTCACCTTCAACTCTGCTGATGAAGAGACCCTTGTTGAAGACACCTAGATTTAGATTCTTTGTTATATTCACACCACTAAGGCAAGTAACGAAGGAGAGAGGTTCATCCACTTCGACAAGGCTGCAAATATTACCAGTACACCTGGAAGTGTACACTGTCTGCAAGGAAGTGTAGCATCTGCTCCCTCGGCCATCACTACGGGGACTGAAATGCACTCCACACACGATGCATATCTCTGCTGGAACACATCATTTCCCCTGACAGTCTGATCAGACAGGAAGATCTGGGTCCTAGGGAAACCTCGACAATCCATTGAGGTTTCATATTCCTGATAATGGAACCCCTAATGTTTAAACCAAAGAGTCCAGAAGCAGGAAGAGGCCAAAGAGTCCAAAAGCAGGAAGAGACCAAAGAGTCCAGAAGCCGGAAGAGATCAAAGAGTCCAGAAGCAGGAAGAGACCAAAGAGTCCAGAAGCAGGAAGAGACCAAAGAGTCCAGAACAGGAAGAGACCAAAGAGTCCAGAAGCAGGAAGAGACCAAAGAGTCCAGAAGCAGGAAGAGACCAAAGAGCCCAGAAGCAGGAAGAGACCAAAGAGTTCAGAAGCAGGAAGAAATCAATAAAATGTCTGTTGCCCGACAGGCTTCAACTACCAGTCCTCCAGCGACGTCTCACAACATCCAATCAATTCTTACAAGGCAGTGGCGCCACTGTCCAACTGCCTAATTCTCGGGGAAGCCACATCCAGGGTCCGCCTCCACCACCAACCCAGCCACAACCTTCACCAGTCACGGCTTGTGAATGATTACAGTACGACTACTGAACTATTTAACCTAACGGGAAGGATTGCCGGATCAATCCATAGCAAGATTGCAAAGACGATCAACAGCCTACTGTCTGCAAATGGATTGTCAACCGTCATTGTACTGGTTGACTTGCTTCCTGCAACATTGGCTCCAGCACCTGGTGATCCTGCAACAGTGACAACACCACCTTTACTGTCAGGAGAACTGCTCCAGTTGTCGTGGGGTACGGTTGTTCCTTCCGGCCACCGCAGTTGTTCTCGACCCGGCGAGGAGTGAGGACCTGGATGCAACTAGGCTGTTGACGTGGCTTGTATCCCGTGTTTTTGCTGAGGGGCCCTTGGGGCCATGACGGTCTGCAATCATGGGGGGCCTGTGCACTTGCCACCAGGCAGGCCTCCGTTGGCCTGGAGTTCTCTGGGATTGCTTCCTACCAAGCTGTGGTGGTAATTATTGATATGCTACATGTCCAAGTGGCGTCTATATGTGGTGTGCAGCTGCTTGCCGGACGGCGAGCGATTGTCAAGTTCAGCTCCCTGGCGATTTATCAAGATCTCGTCACGCGCTATGATGGGCGCTCATTCGATCTTCCTGGAGATGGTGGGTCGGTGACCCTCTCAGACCGTTGTGGAGCCACGACGTATGTGGCAGTGCACGGGATGCCTTTTGAGTTCCATGAGGATCTCCTATGTCAGTACTTTGCCCAGTTTGGACGGGTCCTACATGTGAGGATGAATGCCGTCCCTACCCGGAGATGGAAGGGCGTCCATGTGGGACCCACATGCGAGTCTGGGATCCTGTACCGTCCTCCACCATGCTGTTGGGGTTCCCAATTCGTGTTTTTCACGCAGGACAACCTCGGACTTGTTTCAGGTGTGGCCTACCGGGTCACCTGGCCGCGAGGTGTGTGGAGCGCTGGGTCACCCATGTTAATCTCTTCCAGGAGGAGAATTTTTCCCCGCTGTTGGTCCCGGACCTATCTCCACGTGCTGGACCGTGTGTTGATTCCCTGCTGGTTTCTGCCCCGGTGTTGGGTGATGGAGTGGACGTTGACGTGGGGTTTGGGGCGGCCTCGCCCCCGCCTCCGACGTCCCTGCTCCTGTTGGCCCAGCCCGCCCCGTCTCGGCCGCCCATACCTGCTCCGTCCCTGCATGCGGCGTCTTCTGTCCCTTTGGATGTCCGCGGCGAGGAGTCTCCTGCTGTGTGTGGTCCGTTGCCCCCGGCCGTGGAGGCTGCGGTTCTAAGGAACCGGGCCTTGAAGGCGCGTCCGTCGTTGTAGAGTTCTGCTGTATTACGAGATGATGGGGGGTGCTCAGATGACCGGCAGCCTGTCTCCAAGCGCTCGAGGCGGGTCCCGAGTGTGTCTCCCCTTCGTGGGGTGCCTTGGGTGGAGGTGGAAGAGTACGTTGATCTGGCGTCTCCTGCCGAGGTTGGCGGTGCTGTGGGAGGCTCTGTGCTGCCTCCGGTGATGCCCCCTATGCCTCGTACTGCTGACAGTACTAGTGTCGTACTGCTGACGACTCCCCACGGTGGGAGGTTGCTCCTGCCGAACGGGGCCCTCGTCGTGGTCTTACGGAAGGATGCGTACCAAGGTGCCTTTGCTCTTGTGCTCGGTGGCGGGGGCCCCGACTCTTCTGTGTCCTCTGCGGGTTCCCCTAGTTTGCAGCCCCATGTGAAGCCTCGTGAGAGGCCTCGTGTGCCGGCCAGTACAAAGCCCTGTGCGGCGTCCCGAGCACCTCCCAGTGCTGATTCCAGTGCGAAACCACCTAGAGTGGACCTCTTCCCTGTGCTCGCGGCCGACAGGGGCGTGGTCCCTCAGTCACGGGTTTTGGACATCGTTTGGGACGACAGGGTGCGTGATTTTCCGTGGTGCTCGTCGACTATTTGGGTACCGAGGTTAAGAGCAGCTGCGACATCATCCTATGTGTCAGCTGCAACTGTAGCATCTGCAGTCTCTTAGAGACGACCCCTCTACATGAAATGATGTAGAAAAACTTGTTGCAGTAACCGTAATTGGTATTGCAGTTAGATCATCCACATCCACTACAGGTGGATGTGAATTGTGCAACATCTTGTTGTAACACGGGTTTGGGTTCTCTCTCTCTACTTCTCTACCTTCTACTCCCTCTACCCGTATTCTTACTTTTTATTCTCTACCAAGGGACTCCAAAACTTTTACCAAAGCCAACTCCACGCCACGTGGTCCTAAGACGATTGACCGACTTAGGATTCTACACCCAGTATGACGTGACCTAAGCTCTGAACAAAACCCTAGAGTCACCTCTGCTGCCACCACCAGACCAGCTCTACAGAGCAATGATCGAGGTCTGGATCGATCACGCTAATTAATCAACCTTGGGGCTTGATCCCCACTATATACGATGACCTTGAGTGTGGAATAAATTACGCGGTAATGATAATTCCGATTCGATGTTAGAATCGGCGCCCAATACAACTCTGCCTCGTGTGGACCACGTGACCAGGACAAGTATACACATAACCAAATGGAAACAATAAAAATGCAAAATATTAACAAATTTAATTTATTAAAAGAAAACTAAAACAAAATCTAAAAATGTTCACTCCCTATCACTTTAACACTCCCTACTTGACCTGAGTGGCAAATGAGACTATTTCTATACATAACCATAGCAACTATACCTCTATGTTTTCCAGCTAAGATGTTGTGCTGGTCTTGGGGAGAGGTAAGATGGTTGACCTCTCCCAGCTGCTCCCGTATTCACACTGATCTTTTCCTTGTCTGGACTACCCCAGACAGAGTATTGTATCCTTCCGCCTAGTCAAAGTCCTACCCAGTTACTAGCAAGGTTTAAGTTATAACAATTAACCTCTGTTTGTACTGAATTGATCCAGACTAGTTGAATTATTTTACTTTAATTAGATTACACAAACATCTAACGGCAAAGCTGTTCCCGATCACAAAAATGGTTATTAAAACTTTGAGAAATATTAGACATGTCAACCCTGCTGACCTATGACCGCCGGTCACTCCGCCTTAAAAGTTAGATCTGATTCGTGACGTCACTGATGGTGACTTAAACTCAATAATTAGAATACTCTTGATATTGTATCCAGTACTATTATACAATACAATTTTAATGCAAAATGAATAAAGGCTAATTTTCTCTAAATTACTGAATACTATAGGATGATTCATTATACGCAGCTATGAACAAAGCGTTGGTTATTTCCACCGCGAATTCCCCTGGGGGTCAGGTCACCATGCGGCTCAGCTTCCCATTCTCTTTTGTCGATAAACCACTCTGGATAATTCTTACAACAGCCTAGTTTGTTACAACCCCCCCGCACAAGCACTTAGTAAACCTTGTTAATTTGTTAAAATTCACGAGGTTTAGTATCCAAACCCACAATTCAACTCATGCCACAAACAAAAGCTAACCTAACTAATAAAATTTGACAAATAATAGTCCAACATCATAATAAACATGTTCATATTTCATAAATTCCTCAGCTGTCAACTGACAGCAATCCTCTAATATCAGGAAACATACATCCTATCCCTACTGACATAGCTAAATAACATGTCCCTACTCTACCATAAAAAACTAGCTATTAAACTCTCTTGGCTCTTCACTAGCCAAGTCCATGTGTCCTCTAGAGCCGGCCACACCGTGCTCAAACAAACATTAAAGTTATATCATCAGACTGAACTTTCAGTCATCCGGGAGCGTACTACAGAACTATCAGGTACACATCCGTGTACTAACCACTCCCCATCAATGTCAACCTTGACATGTTAAGGAACACACCTAACGTTTATTACATGTATCCAAAAAAATAAAAAAAAAATTCCTATACTATATCACAGGTTTCAGCTGATTGTACAGCCAAGTGTTCTCACTCACTAGAAGTGTCAATGTTTATATTGGTCCGCCTCTCCTGTGTTCAAACATTCTGAAAAAAAATAGCACCACATAATTTTCCATAACCGTTTGTTCTGGGCTGAGACAATTACACAGGGGCTTCGATTTTGATTACTGACCAATTCATAGAGTAAAATTCATATATTATACCAGAATTATTATTTTAAAGCTGTTTTTCAACATTTATAAAGTATTGATTCTAAATCTGTTTTTCAACATTTAAACAAAAGTGTCCAGATGTTCTTTACACAGATGTTCAGAGCCAACTTTGTTGTTTGTATCAATTGTTCAAATTGAGTAATCGAGAAAAAAAAAAAAAAATCGATGCTGCTGGATGCTGAATGTAGTCGCTGACGATGACGGTGTCGATCTTGCTTCTTCCCATGTGTAGACATCAATACCTGGTCCTCTTGTACTCCCATCCGGTACTCCTGAATGACGACAGAGTGTAGTAGAGCGGAGTGCCAAGTGACAGCTGTAGAATACTGTTACTTCGGCCATTAATCTTGCTCTCGACAGTCCACACGCCTTCGTATCAATCACAGTTCACACGGTAGTCTTGATGTTAAACTTGTCGCAGATGACCACAGCAGAGCAGAACTGGATGTACCAACAGTGTCTCTTAGCAGGAGTGGTGTCAGAAGGTCGTAGAGGCGGGTTGCTTGTTTGCAGAACAGGTGAATCTCGTCTTCCGTCATTGCTCACGTCATCTCAGGCGTTTCTTGATGTCCCCAGGTTACTAGGCCGTAAACACCAACTGTGTATACCCTCGTACCGCCGACTTTAGGCCAAAGGAGACAATTTTGCGACCTTCTATTGGCGAGTCCCGGTACTCTGTAGGGAAACCGTGCCTTCCACCTGTGACCGCCTTATTTCCGCTTTCTTGTTACTTCAGATGACGTAATCGTTAATCTTCCGGCGAAACTCTTGAGTACTGCTACGCGCTTTCCATTTCTTGACCTCTCCTCCAACACTGCTGGAATGGCTGCAGTCTTGATGACGCAGCAGGTGGGTATTGGTGATCTCGAGACAGCTACCCCGGCGTTGTATGGCACCTCCGGTGACTGCTATAATGTGGACAGCTCGCTGGCCCTGACAACCTCGTTAGTGACGTGAGGCGTCGGCCGGGTGACTCTTGGACAGTCACTCCTCCCCAAAGTAACTGATGTATGGGTTACTGGGTCTGGTGGGGGGAGGGCTTTGTGTAACGTGCCTCCCCCCTCGGTCTTTACAGACAAGGGTTCACGTGTGGCTGGAACAACTGGGTCGGTGTACCAATCAGACCTGGGAACAGACAGACACAACACAGCGGAAGCATAGATATACTCTGGGTTTGGTGGAGGTGGAACCCCAGAGCACGGTAAAAGTTGCTACCTGAGTTAAGTATAGACATAGTACACCTCATTGCCTTTACAGGAAAATCTAATGAATACTAAATTATACTAACCAAGGAAGTTACTTTACTGTACAGCGCGAGATCTCGTCACCATAGGGTGGCGAGACTGCACCTGACTACTGATGAGCGATGACAGAGGGTCATCCTCATCTTCTGACTCGTCGGTGAATCCATGAGTCAGCACTGCTGAGTCAGGAACTAGACCCGCTGAAGGCAGTTCTAATTCCTCTCTAGCATGATATTGTTTCAATTTATTTACATGAATTGTCCTTTCCACCTGGTCCTCGAACACTCCTTTTATAACAAGATTAACTGGCCCCGCCCTTTTAATTACTCTATATGGTCCTCGCCACCTCGGAGCTAGTTTCCTGCTCTGATTGGCGGGCGCAGCCTCATTCACTCTCAATACGAGGCTTCCTTCCGTCAACTCAAGAGGGCGCACTTTCTTGTCATAAAAATGAGCATACCGAGTCCGTGCCTTCTTGGACGCTTCAGCTGCAATATTCCATGCATTTCTCATTTTTCCAAGGACCTCTGAAGGATAGTCCTCCCCGTATGCAACATTATGTCTGTTAAGCAGACCTGACGGGAAATTGCATGAATTACCAGTAAACAAATGAAGTGGTTGGGTGTTAATTGATTGGTGGATGGCAGTATTCAAGGCGAACTGAACATAGGGTAGGTGTTCATCCCAGGTGTTTGCATCATGTTCAGCAAGGATTGCAAGCATATCCTTGACTGAACGATTAGTCCGTTCCGTCATTCCGTTTGCTTGTGGGTGGTAGGCCGTTGTAAAAGCCGAAGTTGTCTCTAAAATCTTACAAACTTCTCTAAATATATTCCCATTGAATTCTTGACCCCGGTCAGAGACTAAAACTTTAGGAGGTCCGAATACAGTAACGAACCTACGCAAGAACGCATCTGCAACCGTACGAGAATCCTTCTGAGGTAATGCAACTAGTGTAGTGTATCTAGACAGATGGTCAACTAGCACCAACACGTATCTGTTACCCGCATGACTGTGGTGTAAATCAATCAGATCGGCCCCCACACGATCTAACGGTTCACAAATTTCAGGAAATTCCTGAAGTGGGGCTTGTACCTTAAGGGTGCCTTTCCTCCTCTGGCAACGAGGGCACGACTTCACGAAATTGATTACCTCAGAAAGTAATCCTGGAAAATAAAATAGAGACTTTGCTTTTAAGTGCGTTTTAAAGATCCCCGGATGCCCTGCAATTTTTGAAGCATGCGCAAGCTTTAACGCTGATGACCGCAACGCGTCCGGAATAACTAGCTGAAATACTGCCCTATCATTCTGGCTATTAACATAATACAGGACGCCCTGTTTCATCTCAAAATCATGTATAGGTAAATTCTTTTTCTTTTTCGGGTATTTTCCTCCCTCTAAATACTCAATAATCTCTTTCCATCTCGGCTCGTTCAT